TTTTTTTTTTTTTTTTTAATGTTTAAGTCTTTAATCCATTTTAAGTTGATTTTGTGTGTGTGGTGTAAGGTAAGGGTCTGATTTCATTCCTTTGTATGTGGATAGCCAATTTTCCCAACACCATTGTGTGCTCTTGGCAGCCTTGTTGAAGATTAATTTCCGGGCTCACGATTCTGCTCTGTTGGTTTATATGTCTGTCTTTATGCCAGTACCCTCTTGTTTTAATTGCCGTAGTTTTGTTTCTTAGTTCTAACAGGGTTTTTGTTTTTGCTTGTTGGAATCTTTAGTGTTTTCTATATGTAAGATCATGTCATTTGCAAACGTATTATTTTATTTCTTTCTTTCCAGTTTGGCTGCTTTTTATTTCTTTCTGGTGCCTAGCTGCTGTGGCTAGGACTTCCAGTACTATGTTGAATGTAAGTGGCAATAGTGAACATCCTTGCCTTGTTCCTGATCTCAAAGGCAATGTTCTCAGTTTTTCACCATTGAGTATGATGTCAGCTATGGGCTTGTTGTATATGGCCTTTATTATATTAAGAGAAATTCCTTCTGTACCTAGTTTGTTGAGAGTTTTAATCACGAACGTGTGTTGAATTTTGTCAAATGCTCTCTCTGCATCTACTGAGATGACCATGCGACTTTTATCCTTCATTTCGTTAATATGGTGTGTCACTTTAACTCATTTCCATACGTTGAACTATATACCACTCTTTACAGTTATATTTTTTCCTGATTAAACAGCCAATCAAAGTTTACAAGTTGCATTTGCCTGTTAGGCCTCTTTAGTTTGTCCTATTCTGTAGCAGTCTTCCAGCCTCCAAAGGGCCCAACTTAAGATGGGCCAATATTATCTAGTTTGCTACCACAGAAACTATTTTTCTGAAATAGCATTTTATTTAAAAAAAAATTTTTTTAACATCTTATTTATTTTTGAGACAGAGAGAGAGAGAGAGTATGAACAGGGGAGGGTCAGAGAAAGAGGGAGACACAGAATCTGAAACAGGCTCCAGGCTCTGAGCTGTCAGCACAGAGCCCGACGCGGGGCTCGAACCCACGGACCACGAGATCATGACCTGAGCCGAAGTCGGACGCTCAACCAACTGAGCCACCCAGGCACCCCTGAAATAGCATTTTAATTAGTCTCCTTACTTTCATTTGCTCCCCTATAATCTATTCTCCAGAAAGAAATCTATTCTTTTAAAATCATAAATTAGATGATGTCACTCTAATACACAGAAGCGTTTGCTGAATGTGTGGTCAGAGAGGGTTTTCAAAAAACAGGAATATTATACCATATTTATATATTGTGAAGGATGGTCCAGGAGAGCGAGAGAAAGATCAGCAACTTGGGAGAGAAATTGGACAAATTATGGGAGAGGTCTTCTTGGGTAAGTACAAAAGGATGAAATCGAGAACACTAGCCGGAATTGCCCGTCAGAGTATAGGTAGTCACCCTTGGTGACAGGAAAGAGAGTTTATGGGCACAGTGGCAGGTGGGTTAGGAAGTTGGTGGCAGGGAGATCTGATGACATTCCCCTCGAATTGTTACTATTTTCTCGTCTGACAGTGAACCGAGAAGGAAGTGGTAGAGATTGGGGGTGAGAGGAGATGATATAAAATAGTCATCCAGGAGATCAGATTGGGGAGTGAAGGAATTAGGGAAATCTAGCAGGATTTGGGGGCAGTCGTGTAGGCTTGAACTGAAGAGTGATCCATTAGGTACTACCGAGTGTTCTTCCTCCATCTAAGGTCAAGTGCTCAAGCAGAAGTTTGAAGTAGGTAGAGAGTTGGATTTTGACCAGAATTGCAGTTCTGTCATGCAAATATGAATGAATGAGAGGGGGCAATGAGTTGAGAGCACACACAAATGTGACACCATAGAATCACGAAGTCGAAGCTGGATGATGAAGGAAATGAGAAAATGAGGGGAGATGGAAAGTGAAAGATGGCAGGATGTTTGGATCGGAAGTCCCAGCAGTTTGAAGAGAATATTGTATTAGTAGGGGTTGGCTGGCAGACCATGACATGATTGGCAGAGTTTGTAATTCAGACTGTGGACAGCTGCTCTTGCTGAGAGTGACAAAGCCAAGGCCTGCCCTGGCTAGTACAATAGCCACTCGCCATCTATAGCTGTTGAAGCTGAGACTTAAATGAACATTAAACAAAATGAAAAATGTAATTCCTTATTGGCACTAGCTGCCTTTCAAGTTTTTAACAGCCACGTGAGGCCTGCGGCTACCATATTGGAGAGTGAAGGTGAAACATTTCTGTGATGGTGGAAAGTTCTTCTCTTGGACAGCACTGGTCTAGAGTGTGAACATAGTAGTGAGTGGCTGAGATAGGTGGAGGGTGTGATCGTTAGAGGTAACCGGGTTAAGGAATAGAACGTGACCGGGAAGGATCGGACACTTGATTTTGAAATCACTGAGAATTATGAGAGAAGTAAGGGTGAAGAAAGAGACACTGAGTCAGAGATCTGTTCACGCTTCCACGCAGCTCTGAGCCTGAGGATGCTGGCTCCTCTCCCAGCTCCAGGTGTGGGTCGTTTGGTCAAAGGAGAATCCTGTCCCCGATGCGATGCAGGCCGTGAGGACTTGAGACACGAGGAGAGCTCTGCTGGAGACTTCAGGATACATACCTATTAGTAGTGTGAATGGGAAGCTGACCTAACAGGCTCCTACGCACAGTGGAACGAATAAGACAACATTTTATTTCTCTGTCATGTAACAATCAGACCACTCTAGGCTGGTAAGGCAGCTTTGTTGCCTGGGTGGTGCAGGGAACCTTGTTGCTTCTATGTTGTTACTTAGTCATCTCTGAGGAGTATGGTTGAAGCTGGTTTGCTTCCTGCTCCATTTCCATGGCACCCTCTTGCAGAAAGGAGTGAGGAAGTCCTCAGAGTAAGCAGTTCCCTTGCAAGTAAAGCAGGGATAAATGACACACATCGTTTCCATTCACATTCCGTTTGCAAGAACTTGATCACATGGCCACACTAGCTGTGAGGAAGGCAAGGTGGGCATATGACCTGGAAGAGGAGGGAAGCAGACTCTGTGGATATGAGTTACCGTCTGCCATTTTCTGCTTCTGGAAGAATTCTGGAAGCACTTCTCTCCTTTTCTACAGGCGGTAGTCTGGAATTGGAGCCACCATCCCCTTATCGTGCTGAGGATGATGCTGGCCTAGGGATAAGAGTGGATCAGGGAACCATGGAGAGATGGCATTGAAACTCCTGGATTCGGTCCACCCCGAAGCCCATCTCACTGCTGGACTCCGATTACATGAGCCACAGGTTTTCCTTGTTGTGTCAGTCTCAGTTGAGTTTCTGTTTCTTACAGTTGGGATGTTCCACAAATTATGTAACCATTCTGCTACTCTCAGTGCAGTGTCTTTTTGCCGTTGTGAACAATGAGATAACCGTCCTCACGTATGTATCTTTGAACGCACGACTGTTTCTACAGGATGGATTCTGAGATGTGTAATTGCTGTCCCAAGGGATAGGCACATTTAAAACTTTGGTAAATGCTGCCAAGGTGCCTCAAAACGCACTTAATAACATTCTCATCCCACAATCACCATCCTCCTCTTCTGATGTCTTGCGACATCTCCCTTTGCCTTCTTCTATGTCCTGACTTTATAAAGACCATTTACAGAAGAGCGTTTGGGGACATGCGTTCTCTCCCCTGATGACATTTGCACTCAGCTTCCTTCCACAGCCACATGTTGCCCCTGCTGTTTCTGGCCGGAGCTCTAATTCCAGCCACTCTCTTTATAAAGGCTGCTTGCACTTTCATGGAAACAGATGCTGCAAATAACAACATCGCATATTTACATAGCATAAATTTTACTTTGTAGGGAAATTTGATCAATTGTCTTATCCTAATGAAACAAGTTGATCATCTCATGTTTTCCCTTTTAGCTTAAACTTGTTAGGTTTGCTTTCAAATGTCTAATCGAGTTCTTTTTTGTAGAGAAAGAACTAAGTGCAGACTTTTTAAAAATCAAAATGTTCTGGAGTTAGGCTATTTACTTTATTATAACATTTTAAAATGTTTATTTCTTTTTTTTCTTTTTTTTTCTTTTTGAGAGAGGGAAAGAGCGAGCAAGCGAGCCAGCAGGGGAGGAACAGAGAGAGAGGGAGACACAGAATCTGAAGCAGGCTCCAGACTCTGAGCTGTCAGTGCAGAGCCCGATGCGGGGCTCAAACCCACAGCAATGAGAGCTTCCCAGGTGCCCCTGAAGTTAGACTTAAATAATGTAAATTATTCTTAAATAATGTATCCTATCTTACTAAGGACAGGACAACCCTGAAGGGTGTTGTTTTTTTGTTGTCTATAGCTTCCGTGAGAATCTTCCTAAATTGGGAGAGTATTCAATGGAGTATTTTTTTGTTATGTTTCTATTTTAAGGGTTTTGTACCCAATTCCAAAGTATGTGGAAGGTTTTTTCCCTACATTGCAATGCAATTCTTGGACACCAGTTGGGTATCCTACAACTGAACTCAATCCTGGTCCTTCCTACCTGGAGACAGCATCTGATTGCACAGGTTAGGGGCTCAGTCCTACGAGGTGCCCTTCTACTTGAGTTGCTTGCCCAGGGTGTCACCCATGCTTCTGATGACCAGCTATAGATGGAGGTTCTGTGACCCCTCCTTCGGTTTGATTAATTTGCTACAGTGGCTCACAGGACTCAGAGAAACATTTTGCTTGCTAGATGATCAGGTTATTATAAGAGGATATAACTCAGGAAAAACTAGATGGGAAGAGATGCACAGGACAAGATATGTGGGAAGGAGGGGTGCCTGAGTGGCTCAGTCAGTTGAACATCCAACTCTTTAATTTTTTTAAGTTTTTAAAAACTTATTTTGAGAGAGAGAGGACATGGGGTAGGGGCAGAGAGAGAGGGAGAGAGACTTCCAAGGAGGCTCTGTGCTGACATAGTGAAGAGCCCAATGCGGGGCTCAAACTCACAAACCATGACCTGAGCTGAAATTAAGAGTCAGACCTTTAACCGACTGAGCCACCCAGGCGCCTCAAGCATCTGACTTTTTTTAAAAGACATTTTAATTTTATTTAATTAATTAATTAATTTTCAGAGAGAGCAGAGTGTGGATGGAAGAGGGACAGAGAGGGAGACACAATCCAAAGCAGACTCCAGGCTCTGAGCTATCAGCACAGATCCCGAGGCAGGGCTCAAACCCATGAGCTGTGAGATCATGACCTGAGCTGAAGTCAGATACTCAACCGACTGAGCCATCCAGGCGCCTCAAGCATCTGGCTCTTGATTTTGGCTTAGGTCATCATCTCATGGTTTGTGAGTTTGAGCCCTCATGGTTTGTGAGTTTGAGCCCCATGCAGAGCCTGCTTGGGGTGTTCTCTCTCTCTCTCTCTCTGCCCCTACCCCACTTGTGTGCTCTCTCTCTCTCTCTCTCTTTCACAATAAATAAATAAAGACATTGGGAAGGGGTGTAGAGCTTCACATATTTTCTGAGGACATCACTTCCCCCCAACTTCTCTGTGTTCACCAATCTGGAAGCTCTCTGAACCCCATGGTTTTGGTGTTTTATGGAAATTTCATTTCATGGAGGCTGGCTCCTTGCACTGGTGGAGGGGGTATTTTTCTGTGGGGTAGATCTGATCTGTATGGTCACTGTGCCAGCTGGAGCACCCCATTTTGTTGTATAGGGCATTTTAGGGGAATAAGCCCTTACAAGCAGGAACATCCCTTTACTTTTATTAAGAAATTATCTTTCAACATAGTGATTCGATGATTACATACGTTGCAAAATGCTCACCATAAACGTAGTTACAGTTACGTCTGTCAGCATACAAAGTTGTTATAATATTACTGACTACAGTCCCCATCCTGTACTTTTTACCCCCATGACCTACTTATTTTATAACTGGAGGTTTGTGCCTCTTAATCCCCTTCTCCTATTTTGTCCCTTCCTCCAACCCCCTGTCCCTCTGGCAACCACCTGTATTTATGAGTGAGTCTGTTTCTGGATTTTGTTGCTGTTTTGTTTGTTCTTTATTTTGTTTTTTAGATTCTCTATATAAGTGAAATCGTATGGTATTTGTTTTTCTCTACCTTTTTTACATTCTTTTAGAAACATTCCAGTGAGTTTACTGAACCCCCAATTCTTTTATGGTCTTTATGAATAGACACCTCATCCCCTTATCTCTTTCCCCCTACCTTTACCCCAACTTGTAAAAAAGAGGTTAAAAGACCACTTGAAACAATCAGTTTTGTTGTTTTTTTTCCTTTCTTTTTATTTTTAATCATCTGATATCACAAGAGGATTATTTTAGTACAACCAAATCTTTTATGAAGTAGGGAGTTTTAGTTGAGGCCCATGAAAATAGTTTATATGAGAAAGATAGAGGAAGGCTCAGAGGGCTGTCTTTAATAGCTGTCTCTTGTAAAATGAACCTGGAACCTTCCAGCAGCCTTCAAAGGCACCGAAATCTTGGTTATCTGCCTCTAGCACTGGAAGCAGGTGGAGCCGCGAGAGGCCCAGGAAGACCGGCAGGAGGGGACAGGAAGTGGCTGTCACCACTTGCACATGGCTTATGGCTGTGAATGCAATGTTGTGTCAATGGCAGAACAGAGCACTGTAAATCTACGGTGTGCATCTGATGAGCCATTTGGGTAGTCTTTTATTTACAGGAAAATTAGGAAAATGGCCATAAGCAAAGCCAGAAGGCTTAAGAGTTTAAGTAAGCTTGCGAAGGGAGATGGGGATTCTTGTACACTTCGAGTTTTGGTGACTTTGAATGTTCGATCCCACTGGGTCAAGATGGCATTTCTGGCTCCTTCCCATTTCCCCGGGCCGGTCAAGCGGAACTGGTACGGTGTGAATGGGCCGAAGAAGATGGTCAAGCCCAGGCGTGGGTCCATCAGGAGCATAGAAAATAGGTTGGGTTTTGCATTGATGTAGGTCAGGAGTTCATCTATGTATGTGATATAATCTGCTTGTAAAGCTTTGCAGTAACACAAGCCAAACCTTTATAAAAGGAAAATGGGGGATAAAGAGAAAGACACAAAGATAAGATAATGATAACCCAGAGCAAGTCAACATGCCAAAAGTAAACAATGATGCTAGAAAATTTGAAATGTTCTCTTTTGCTTTTCTTTTTTATTTGAGAGAGAGAGACAGAGACAGAGAGGAGCCAGGGAGAGGGGCAGAGGGGGAGAGAGAGAGAATCCCAAGCAGGCTCCATGCTCAGCACAGAGCCCCATGTGGGGCTTGATGCTATGAACCTGGGATCATGACCTGAGCTGAAATCACGAGTCAGATCTCAACTGATTGAGCCACCCACGCACCCCTGAAATGGTTTTTGTATTATTTTCTCCAAGCCCATAGCTGTCTAATGGTCTCATTGCATTTTTTTTTTTAATACAAGATGAGCTCCTTGACAAGATACTCTATGCATATGGTGTTCCAAATGCTTATAATGCATCTAGTATTTCTCTGCTTCTTTTGTCAAATATTTAGGAATTTCTAGAAAAAAATTTATTTACATAATTTCACTATTACTAAATTTTTCTAAAACTCAGTTATTGCTAGATTTATATAATGTAAAGTCCACAAGAATCAATAAGGTGGAATTTCCTGTAATGCTGGTGTTGGTCCTAAAATCACCAGCTGACCTATGTGACAAGAAGCTTTTCCACTGTGCAGCTCTAATTAATTATCTATGTTATAGCACAATTCCATAATGGAGATCAAATCACATTCCAGGTTGAGGGTGAAAAAGAGGAATCTAAAATGTTTTTTGTTATTTTGGGATTTAGCACTTTGACAAGGATAGCTCAACATGAAGTTTGGAAATATATTTAAATTAGAGAAGTGATAAAAATAATAAAAAAATAAAAATTATTTTTTAATGTTTGTTTATTTTTGAGAGAGACAGAGGCAGACCATGACTGGGGGAGGAGCAGAAAGAGAGGAAGACACAGATTCCAAAGCAGGTTCTAGGCTCTGAGCCATCAGCATAGAGCCTGAAGCAGGGCTCAAACCCATAGACCATGAGTTGAAGTTGGACGCTCAACCGACTGAGCCACCCATGTGCCCCAGTGATAAAAATGTTTAAATGCAGTGATTTATTTATTATTATTTAAAAAAATTTTTTTTAATGTTGATTTATTTTTGAGACAGAGAGAGACAGAGCATGAACGGAGGAGGGTCAGAGAGAGAGGGAGACACAGAATCTGAAACAGGCTCCAGGCTCTGAGCCATCAGCACAGAGCCTGACGCAGGGCTTGAACTCACGAATTGCGAGATCATGACCTGAGCCGAAGTCAGACGCTTAACCGACTGAGCCACCCAGGCGCCCCTAAATGCAGTGATTTAAAAACTTTCTTTTGGTATCAGAAAGCATTTTTCGAGTGATAATTTATATTAAAGCCCAAAACAGTCTAACAGTAAACAAAATCAGAGATGTTTTAGTTGGGTTAGGAGTGAGGATGAGAGTCAGTGGGGTGAGGGGGGAGGCCAACACTCGTTTCTTTTCTGCTGCTTCCCTTCTGTAATCCCTGGTCCTTGAGTGTGAGCCAGAGATCAGAGAATAAGTGGAAACTTCTTTGGGAACAGGGTCAACAAACTTATTCTGGCAAAAGGTCAGATGGTAAGTACTTTAGGCTTTGAGGGCCATGTTATGGTCTCTATCTCAACAACTCAAAAGCAGCTACATGTAAATATGTACATGAATGAGTGTGGTTAGGTTCTCATGAAATTTTATGTATGGCTACTGTGATTTAAATTTCATATGAGGCACCTAGGTGGCTCAGTTGGTTAAGCGTCTGACTTCAGCTCGGGTCATGATCTCATGGTTCGTGAGTTCAAGCCCCATGTGGGGCATTGTGCTGGTGGTTCAGAGCCTGGAGCCTGCTTTGGATTCTGTCTCCCTCTCTCTCTGCCCCTCCCCTGCTCATGCTCACTCTCTCTCTCAAAAAATAAGTAAACAAAAAAATTTTAAAACAATAAATTTCATATAATTTTCACATATCACAAAATATTCTTTTATTCCAACTCTTAAAAAACATAAAAGTTCAAGTGGTCGGCAGATTTGACCTGCAGGACATAGTTTGCAGAATCCTGACTAGAGTAGAATCTAAATAAAACAATAGAGTTGAATACAGATTGGTTGAATGAATGAATAAACAGACCCTTCTAGCATCAGAGGGGATAAACACAACTCTTTGCCTGCTGCTTATGAAAAAGGTGTGGAATAATGTATCTGGTAGATGGGAGTTAATTGTATTTGGTTTAGAATCCAGACTCCATGTGGCGCTAGATAATTATGGTCTGAAGTGACGATTTTGGGACCTTTAAACTTTTCAGTTCCTCTTCTCCCCACTCTCCTTAACAGGCTATGCTAGTTCCCCCCCCCCCCCCCCCCCCCCCCCCAAATCTCAGGCGCTGCCTCATGTCTCTCTGCTATTGTTTTACCAATTTGAGTCATGATTCAAAAGGATGCATAAGGAGTTAACTAAGTTAACTCACCCACTGGGTTTGTTTTCTTTTCTTGCATTAACTTCCTCAATCATAACACTTTGCGGTGGTAACTTATTTATACCTGTGAAACAAACAAAAAAGGCAGTTTAACTTCAGGCCTGCTTGCTTAGTGGGTGAAGATGTTTTATTACTGCTTATCTTTATTCCTGGTACCCAGCGACTCATCTGTTCTCCTCCCAAAAATATTAGCTGCCTACAGGGTTGATGGTAAGTTTTTGGTAATAATGCTACCAGCTGAAAAGTTATAAGCATCTGGTCATCTCACTAGTTATCTGATACAACATAACCTCAGAACTGAATTCTGTCACTTGATTGAAGTTTTATACTTTAAATTTTTTTTTTTTTAACGTTTATTTATTTTTGGGACAGAGGGAGACAGAGCATGAACGGGGGAGGGGCAGAGAGAGAGGGAGACACAGAATCGGAAACAGGCTCCAGGCTCTGAGCCATCAGCCCAGAGCCCGACGCGGGGCTCGAACTCACGGACCGCGAGATCGTGACCTGGCTGAAGTCGGGCGCTTAACCGACTGCGCCACCCAGGCGCCCCTGGAGTTTTATACTTTAATTGAACCAGTTAATTCAGTGAAAACAACAGATAGACACAACTTGTATTTTTTTTGACCCCCGATTTATCTTTTGTGCTGGTAATGGCTCAAATTCATTCTGATAGTGTAATTCCATGAAGAATAGAATGAATCCTGCTTTTAAAGATTCTGTTGTTTGAGATAGGAGCTGGGGACGCTCTCAAAATTTCTAGTATCCAAAATAACATAGTAAACAGAAAACATATGCCCTGAAATTTCTCACGCACGTACCTTTTAGGACTCGAACAACCCATCGTGCTTGGGTCTCTCCAGTGGGTATGATGGAGCCCAAAGGTTTGATGAGGCCAATAACAGCCAGAGTTGGCTTTGGCAGATGTGCAGGGAAGATGTACTTGTACAGTGATGCCTGGCCATTTTCGACTTTCACTACGGACTCATCAAGGAAGGGGAAAGCAAAGGTGTATCCAGTGGCAAAGACAATGATATCAATGGGCTCTTCCTTTGGGGTGTTGTTAAATATGACAGAGTTTTCCTTCACCTCTTTTATGCTTGGCTTGATGAGCACTTTCCCAGTGATGATACGGCCTGGGAGTTCATCATTTAGTACAGGCTCTCTCAGCTGTGTCCTAAAGAGAAACATGGGCAGGGAAGAGATGTGCCGGTGACCAGTGTGGCTGGCCCTTCCACCTCCTTCCCTTCCCTTCCCTTCCCTTCCTCATTCTGGGACTCTCCCCTTGGCTAGGCAGGAGGTGCCAGTCTTGGGAGAAGTGGCACTCGGTAGGGAGCTGTGTGCCCTCAGTGGTGGCTTGGGTACACCTGATCCACGTTGGTCCAGAGTGGAACCTGGAGGAAGATCAGACGAGATCTCTGGGCTATGATGCCAACCCCGGGGAATGGAGTATCCTTGTACCGACTCAATGAGAAAGTAAAACCGTCTATTCTTCTTAATGGGATAAATTGTAGGCTGTAACTCAGATACAGACTGAGTTAAGTACAGACTGAGGTCAAGGTCGTCTTGACAAGGGCAAGAAGGCACTGCTGCTGGAGAGATGGGCAGGGGCCACTACAACATTTGATTCTTCCCACACAGGGAAACAAGCCAAGCGTGTTGCTTCTACCAAAAGAGTCGTAGACAAGTCATTGTCTTTCGAGCGCTGCAGCTGAGGGCCACGTAACCTGCCTAGGTCATAGAGCTCACTTATCACTACGTGAGCTTGGGCAAGTGGCTGAACTTTGCCAAGCCTCGGTTCGCCCACAGTAAAAAGAAGATTAAGTAAGACTTTAAAAAAGGGTTGTTGACAAGATGCAATACCTAGTTTCACTTACCAAGAACTCAAAATAGCTAGCTATTAGGAAATACACTGGGATGAAGTTTTCCTTCACGTTCGGTCGATATGATGTGTTGTTGCCTGGTTTGGCTGTGCCAGTGGAGGCACAGAGCCTCCTCCTTCCTCACAGCCCTCAGCAGATACCCTCCGTTTACCTGTCTTCCGGTACCAAGCCGTAATTTGCATGATGGAACCAGCTGTTCATCTTTCTTGCCAGCAGCCAGTTCACAATTGGAGTTGGGAGAGAATTTCTGAACATGTTCTGAAACCGAGTCGTGAACACCATGTCCCATGGGTACCCTGAGTCGAAGACTCGACTGATCACCCACGCCCCGCCGGTGGTGCTGAGGAACACCTGGAAGCAAAGAAGCCACTCAGTTTGACACGGTGAGCCCGGCTGGCTTTGCCAGAGAGTCAAGAGGTCTCATCATTGGAATAGCACCTGAAAGTCTCCCTCCCTCAAAATACATCCTCCACAAGATGGTTTTGGCTCCTCTGGCTCCCGCTGTAAAGTTATTCATTTGAGATAACGGTTTGGGCACTTAGAGCATTAAAGTGCCTTCGAACGTATAACTGAGCACTTATTATCTGCGAGACACAGTGCCAGACACCTCAGTGAGTGAGCTACTGTGGCAACCCAGAGCGAGCTCAAAGTCTCGTGTGAAAAAGCAGCGAGCAGGTGGGTACAGTTTTGCATGCTAGTAATTGTAGGGCATAAGAACAAGGTGTGGCAGCAGGTGAATCTTGTCTATAAAGAATTTCAATAGAAACCACTGTTTAAACTGACAATAAATTTCAGTAACACAGTTGGTTTTGGTGAATTCCTTAAAAAACACTTTTTTTTTTTAAACAGGTTAGCTGTTTGAGTTCACCAGCTGACTGAGTTTGAAATTTCCACATGATAAGAGAGATAGAAATAATATGATGGGAAATAGAATATGCTACCCACATGTCTCCTGTGGGGGTCGGAGTGGATGGGACTGTGTTAATTTTTATTTCAGGACCTCCTTTCTCTTCTCTCAGGATGTCTCCACCAAACTGCGAAGTCTCTCCAAATCAATCAACCAATCAATCCTTTTTTTGAAAGTTCCCGAAGGGAATATCAAAATCACATTCCCAATCCTTTTCCTTCATAGCTATTTTTGCTCTTGCAATTATTATTTTTAAAGATTTTATTTTTAAGTAATCTCTATATCCGACATGCATCTTGAGCCTACAACCCCAAGATCAAGAGTTGCATGCTCTACTGATTGAGCTGGCCAGGCACTCCTCACTCTTGCATTCATTCATTCATTCATTCATTTATAGAGCAAGACCAAGAGAGAGAGAGAGAGAGTGCACAACCCAAGTGTGAGCACAAGCGGTAGAGGGGCAGAGAAAGAGGGAGGGAAAGAGACAGAATCCTAAGCAGGGTCTGCACTGTCAGTGTTAAGCCCGACATGGGGCTTGAACTCACAAACCATGAGATCGTGACCCGAGTTGAAATCAAGAGTTGGACACTTAACCAATTGAGCCACCCAGGTATCCATGACCTAATTATTTATACTTATTTAGTTGGCATCTGTGTCCGCCTCAACTCTATGCTCCATTATGGCAGAAATCTTGCTTTTTTTTTTTTTTTTTGAGAGAGAGGGCTCAAGTGAGTGAGGGGCAGAGAGAGAGGGAAAGAGAGAGGGAGAGAGGGAGGGAGAGAGAGAGAGAGAGAGAAGTGGGACTCACACTCACCGGATGCGGGACTCAAACTCAGGAACCTTGAGATCATGACCTGAGCCGAAGTCAGATGTTTAATTGACTGAGCCTCCCAGGTGCCCAGAAATCTTGTTTTTATTGTATTCTTCAGTGATTCCTCCTGTGCCTGGCACAATGTTTGGCACATCAGAAACCAACAACTAATATGTATTTGTTTTTAACAAGTGCCAGCTGAGGAACGTTAATTACAATTATTACATAAACTTTACTAGGGAGAGATCACTGTGTTGGGGCAACATAGCTGGGGAGGTACAAGTGGATTGTAATAAAGGGGAAAAGAGCACCGAAGGGAGGGGTGTGGTATGAGCAAAGGGGAAAAACACAGGAATTGGAAAAGGCTCAGAGTAGTGGGAGATAAAGTTGAAATGGCACATTTGAACCAGATTAAGGAGAACTCTATAAAGCAGGGCTAATCCATCTGCAATTTATTATTATTATTTTCACTTTTGTTGCTTTTATTTTATTTTACTTTATTATTTTCGTGAAAAGAGTTTCCCCGTACATTTTGGCAGGATTGAGGAGCCAGAATAGCTTTTCTAGCTTCTGTTGTTTCACAAAGTGATTAAACGTGGCCTGTGCTTTCTCAGATCTGCCTCCTCTGCTAACAGCACAGAGACTCTCTCTCCCTCTCTCTCTGCCCCTCCCCTGCTCTCTCTCTCTCTCAAATAAATAAACAAACAAACAAATAAACATTAAAAAATAAAATTAAAAAATCTGGTTTTTTTGTATGTGTGTGTATTTTAGGCATTTTTATTTCTTTCATCTTTTGTCACTGTTTGCCTGAGGCATGCATCTTAAGCTACAGTTTTTCATTAGGTAACATCAGGGTACCTTTTCTGCCAGGTGGCTGGCCTCCACAGCAATGTCTGTGCCCGAATTCCCCATTCCAACCACAAGGACTCTCTTGTCCTTAAATATATTTGGGTATTTATACTGTCGGCTATGAAAGTACTGGCCTTTAAAGGTATTTATACCTATAGAAAAAAAAAAAGTCAAATGAAGAATTTTATAGGATCAGTAAACGAAACATATGCATTGCTCCATTAATAATATCCCTTTGATTGGGGCACCCGGGTGGCTCAGTCAGTTTAGCATTTGACTGGCTCAGGTCATGATCTCACTGTTCGTGGGTTCGAAGTTCGACGCATTTGTGTTGATCATTAGGAGCTGGAAGTTTTCCTTCAGATTCTGTGTCTCCCCCTCTTTCTGCCCCTCCCCTACTCGTGCTCTGTCTCTGTCTCTCTCTCAAAAATAAATAAACGTAAACAATTAAAAAAAATAATATCCTTTTGATGGATTATTTTGGTTGTTTTTAATAGCATGCTCAATTTTAAGAAAATCCAAAATGTGAATACATGACTTTGTAAGACACAGAAATGAGTGATTATTTATTTAATGGAGGTACTTATTTCATCTCACTAGATAGGCCTCTGGGTTTATTTGGTACTAAGTTGAAATATCATGGCATAAAGATTAATTAAGCCATTATTACCAATTTTATTTATTTATTTATTTATTTAATTTTTTTTTTTTTTAAATTTATTTTTAAGACAGAGAGAGACAGAGCATGAGCAGGAGGAGAGAGGAGACACAGAATCCAAAGCAGGCCTTGCGGCTCTAAGCCGCCGGGAAGCATTGGTATTTCTGACACGGGCTTGAACTCGGTTTTAACTGTGAGATCAGCGACCCGAGCTGAAGTCAGAGGCTTAACCAACTGAGCCACCCAGGCACCCCTATTTATTTTTTTAATTTAATTTTTTATTTTTTTAAATTTACATCCAAATTAGTTAGCATATATGCAACAGTGATTTCAGAGTACATTCCTTAGTGCCCCACCATTTAGCATCCCTCCCACAACCCTCCAGTAACCCTCTGTTCTCCATATTTATGAGCTCTGTTTTGTCCTCTCCCTGTTTTTGTATTATTTTTTGTTTCTTCCTTATGTTCATCTGTTTTGTCTTCTGAAAGTCCTCATGAGTGAAGTCATGACTTTTGTCTTTCTGATCACTTTACTTAGCATAATCCCTTCCAGTTCCATCCAACGAGGCTGCAAATGGCAAGATTTAATCTTTTTGATTGCTCCAGGAATCCTCCATTGTGTGTGTGTGTGTGTGTATGTATGTATGTATGTGTGTGTGTGTAGTATATATATATATATATATATATATATATACCACATCCTTTATCCATTCATCCATCTGACATTTGGGTTTTTCCATACTTGCTGGTTGATAGTGCTGCTATAAACATGGGGGTGCATGTGTCCCTTCGAAACAGCACACCTGTATCCCGTGGATAAATGCCTAGCAGTGCCATTGCTGGGTCGTAGGATAGTTCTATTTTCAGTTTTTTGAGGAACCTCCATACTGTTTTCCAGAGTGGCTGCACCAGCTTGCATTCCCAAGCCATCATTACCAATTTTAAAGTTGATGGAAATCAGTGATAGAATTAGTTTGTTCTATTTACTAATATTTGACTATCTAGAGCTTCTCCCAAGCAAGGAGCAAGAGCAGAGAAGTTAAAGGGAACTATGAGTCAGCGCCTCCACTCTTTTCAGCAAACTGTTTTTGGCATCTATGTGCTTGGACCTGGGCTAAGTTGATATTAGAGAAATAAGATAAACAAAATGTGGTTCCTATTCGAAAAGATCCATGTTGGCTGGGGAAGTTCACCGATAGCTCACCTTGGTGACCGACTATAACGCAGACTGAGTTTGCTGAGGCAGCAAGAGCTGGCTCTGAGAAAAAGGGATCATGTTTGCCACGCTGGGTTTAGCTCTACTGTTCTAACCAGAAAGGATATCTCAGGCGGTTGATGCCAAATGTCTCACTGAAACATTAAATGTGAATGGAGAGTTTTGGAAAATACTCTCAGGGTTGCATAACACAAAAGTTAAGAGGTGCTGTACAAAGAACCTTTTTTTTTTTTTTCCGGGAAAAGTGATAAGACACCTAGATTCTCAGGGGATAAATATCGATGCTTGTGGCAAACAGCCTTATCAAGGTTTGGTTCGCCCTTAGTTCACCTTGAAACATTAGAAATCTGACATGAATCTCAGTTAAAACCCACCACAATCCCGAGCACTTAGAATTTAATAATCGTGCAGCCAAGTTCAAATATTAATTCAGACAGGACTCATCACAGATCAGAGAATGGCTGACAAGGGAGAGCTAGGCAAGTTTAAGGAGAATCATAGAATTATTATCCCTGGATGTTAAATTACCTTAGATTTTTCTCCAGATCAGGGTCTTTTGGATCAGAAATGAACAAAAATGAGACTGTGTCTGAGTCACCTATCACACTAATATTTTCCCCCCTTTTATCACAGGAGGATAGAGCAGGCACTTTTTTTAGGTGAATGTGGTTGTGTTAGTAAACACACCAGAGTGTATATATCTGAATGATTGATTACAAGTAGTTATTTTGGGAAGTTGTACATTTATTCTGTGAAGTTATGCATTTATTCTGTGATACCTGTTATTTTTACTAAGACTTTTTGGAACATCTTTGGAATTGACTCCAGACAATGTGCCTCCAGGGGTGCCTCAGTGGCTCAGTCTGTTGAGCGTCTGACTCTTGATTTTGGCTCAGGTCATGATCTCATGGTTTGTGGGACCAAGTCCCCCGTCAGGTTCTGTGCTGGTGGCGTGGAGCCTGCTTGGGATTCTCTCTCTCTCACTGCCCCTTCCCTGTTTGTGCTCTCACTCTCTCTCAAAACAAACAAACAAAGAAACAAAAAAGAACAATGTACCTCCAGACACGTTTTCAAATGTCTTCAGTAAATCTGAATTTTTCTAATAGTTAATGATGACCCCAGGAATTACGTACAGACTAAGTAAGTCTGTTGTGAGGCAGGGAGAGAGTTTGTGAGATTTCGAGGACTCTTTTTCAAATCTAAAGTCACAAAACCTTAGAACTCAAAAGCTCCTTAATGGTTACCTACCCAGGGATTTCAAATGGCCAATTGGTAGTAGCCGGTGAGATATTGAAAAGGTCTGCAAGTCCCATAGAGCTCTGTTTGCTTGATTTGTGATGTGTGCTGTTGGATAAGGTGGTCAATTTATGGGCAAAACCCCAGAGGCTTAGAAAGGTTAACCAGAAGGCCCAAGGTTGTATAGCTTGTTAGCTGTGTAGCCTAGAATCTGTACCTCCTGGGTCTCAAGCCCATCCTATTCAAATTGAGGACACTGGTTCAGTTGCTTTCTGGGTACACCTTATCCTAATCTGACCTGACTTGAATGACGTCTGGAGGGCAGACCCAGCACCAATGGATGTACGTGAGTTGTTGTAAAATAAGCATTTGTATCATTTGTAGGTCATGTGTAGACTGTGATTCCTCTGCTGGACTCCTATAAAACTCTTTTCATTCCTTCCAGGCAGGCTACATGTTGTCATATCCACCCCTGTATTTTTAGCACTTTGTGTAATTTGGCACTGTTGGTGCCAAATAAATTCAGCGTATTCTCTATGTCATGGAACTTTCTGGATTCTTAGGGTGATCTAGTACCAGGCACTCCTTCCTAGGAGTTTGGGGGGGCTTGCCTACTTAGGGATTTTCTCTGTGGACAAGAGCTGAGAAAGGATTGGGTTGTCTTGTGGAGTGGCTATTGATCCTCTCTCAGGGATGTTGGGGAATAGTTCCTTATATCGTGGACTTGGGGCTTTTTGATTCAAGATTCAATTCCATGGCAGTTTTCAGGATGTGCTTCGTCCTAACTTGGCCGGACTTACATAAGCTCTTGGGGCATGGGAGGTGTGTGAGTTTATTGTAAGACGAGACTTGAGATCACTCCAAGTCATATTTAGATGATGAAGAGAAAAATTTCCTAAAGTTTTAACTTCTTGAAAACTTACTGTGGATAAAATAAACCAAATCATTGTGTTTTTTATTCCCTCTGCATTGTAATCCAATGGAAATTTGACATAGATTAACATGAATCATGTTTGCAAAAACCGGATAAGGAAACTGGGACTCAAAGATGACTTAACTTGCCTTCTAAGATTCTTTTCACTGTTGACTACTGACCCAGTGCTATAAACGTCTGATCTAGCTAAACCTCTATGGAACAAACGAACAAAAATCGCACTACTTTTTTAAAAATTTATTCACTGATCGACCTTTGTGGCCTCTAAACTCAGCTTTGGTTGTGTGCTACTGCTGAGGCTAACAACTTTGTAAGCATCCAGTGTCTTAGAAGACTTTCTGAGTGTTGCCCATTGCTTAAGGAGGGACATTAAACCCCAGTGAAGCATAAAACTGCTTGCAAGTAATTTGTTCTACTCTTTGGCACTTATAAATTGTTTGGAACAAATGAAAGTCAAAAATTGGCCAGAAATGCTGGTTAGAAAAAAATCCCCGTTACCTTACAACTTTAACTATTTAACGGAAGAACCATAGAAATTCATTCCCGGACCAAGCCAGTATCAGGATGGCTCCCACGAGACGAATTAAGGTCAGTTTCAGAAAACCGTACCTGGGAAAGAGTCCAGTGGCAAATATGGGTCAGTAAGAAAACCAGTGCAGACCATGACGGCATCAAAGATGGCAGACTCTTGCTTTCCTTCATGCTGAGTGACCACCTCCCATTGGCCAGTGACAGTAAAATCTGGGCATTTTGTTACACTGCAGACTTTAGTCTGAAAAAAAGAGTCATAGTCACAATTAATTGTTGTCAAGCTTCTAGTAAGGGCTTGCTGGCCGATGTACCAGTTGACATTTCAAATGTTCTAGAGCATAGGCTAAACATAATCAATAAGCATAAACTTAGAAATAGAATCAAGTTATCAGATTAACCATCATTTTCTGGATGGATGTATTCTTTTTTAAAAATATTTATTTTTGAGAGAGAGAGATTGAGAGAGGGAGAGAGAGAGAGGGAGAGAATATGAGTGGGGGAGGGGCAGAGAGAAAAGGGGACAGAGGACCCAAAGCGGGCTCCACCCTGACAGCAGAGAGCTGGATGTGGGGCTTGAATTCACCAACCGTGAGATCACAGCCTGAGCTGAAGTTGGATGCTCAACTGACTGAGCCACTCAGGCACCCCTGGATGGATGTATTCTAAGAGTTGTAGAGGGTTACTTAAGAGAAGTGATGCCACCCAGAAATTTTGAGTGATTTGTTCAAATTCTCATAGTAAGTGATAGAACCAAGCATCACGGTCTTCTGAAGTCTTTTTCATTTTTTTTTTCTGTTACATCTATCTCTCGTAAAGCTGTGCTTTAATAAAAACATGGATGATATAAATTGGAAATATGAATTTGGTCCCAAGTATCTTACCTTATGAAAGGTCCTGTGGAATATGTTGTTGACATTTTCCCAGATCTTGATAGCTATTGATAAGTACTAACTTGATGGCCTGAATGATAAGTACTAACTTGATGGCCTGATAAGTACTAACTTGATGGCCTGATAAGTACAACTTGATGGCCTGAATGTACTAACTTGATGGACCATGGGAGTGGTCCACATGTCAGTCTATTTTTTGTTTCAATAGAGTATGTATATGTTTATGCATGCTAGGCTCTGATTCAGAAAATATATAAAATAAATTTACAAGACAAATTTATTAATTTACTTATTTATTTATAGTTTATTTATTTTGAGAGACTCAGAGAGAGACAGTGTGCGCAGGGGAGGGGCAGAAAGAGAGGGAGAGAGAATCCCAAGCAAGCTCCGCGCTGTCTGTGCAGAGCCCGATGTGGGGCTTGATTTCACAAACCATAAGGTCATGATCTGAGCCGAAATCAAGAGTCAGATGCTTAACCACCTTAGCCACCCAGCGGCCCCCCAAGTCAAGTTTAAAAGCATAAATGCTCCACTGGCCAAGAGACTTTGCTGCTTTTCTTTCCTTTTAAGTTTTCAGAGAAGACAGGTGTCTCAAGTCTTACCTCATGGGTTCACAATTTGGTTTATAATATTTGAAGTGCTTATTGGATTTCAACATTTGTATTAGTAACTCTTCCTTTTTTTAAATATAAATTTTCAGTTAATTAAAAATTAATTTCAAAGTAGAATTTACTTTCAACTTAAAAATAAGAAATGTTTATAATTAAAAACTTGGAATGCAGAGAGAGGAAAGAAATCTCTTATAAACAGCTGCTTGTGTGTACTCTCTTAAAACTTTGGTGAACATCTAGCTTTAAAGGTTTTTTTTCAAGGTGGGCCTGGGTGGCTCAGCCAGTTAAGTCAGCATCCAACTTCGGCTCAGGTCATGATCTCGCAATTCGTGAGTTCAAACCCTGCGTCAGGCTCTGGGCTGACAGCTCAGAGCCTGGAGCCTGCTTTGGATTCTGTGTCTCTCTGTCTCTCTGCCCCTCCTCTTATTGTACTCTCTCTCTCTCTTAAAAATAAATAATAAG